ATGAAGTATTAAATAATTTATTATAAAATAATTAAATATTTTGGTATATAATTAACAACATTTAATAAATAATATTTGACAAAATATATTTGAAACATGTAATATCCTAAACAAAGCAGTGTTTAAATAATTGAACAGAATTTATTAGAAACTATTTGCCACTATTTTTCCCCCACTGCGACTGACCACCAGGAGGGTTAGGAAGACGACTGACTAAATACGCCCAGGGCGCGCCCTTATATAGGCGACGCACTCACTCAAACACGAGCTTCGCTCTTTAGCCTATTCTCACACGATCAAGAAATCGGCCCTTTCTGAGTTAGTTTTAATCGTCTCTCTGAGCATAACCTTGAACTCCTTGACTAAGCTTTGCACTCAGTTTAATTTTACACTCTTCAAAATGCAGCTCAGCTAATGAGCCTTGCTCTGAGTAAGTTTATAAATTCATTTGAGTGAACTTTTTTCTGAGTTAGTTTTATTGCTCGCTTGCTCTTTCATATGAATTTTTGAGACTTTTACTGAGTTAGCTTGGCACTAGATCAAAATGGCGCTCAGCTCAGCTTCTCTGAGTAAGTCTTAATGCTCCTTAATGCTGAAATGAGCTTTTCTGCGTTTGGTTTAATGCTCGCTTTCTTCGCCTTTTCGGAGAAATGAGACTTTTTCTGAGTTCGTGTTTGCGCTCGATCAATTGGCGTTCAGCTTTTGAGCATTTCTGTGTATTTCTTCCTATACACAATATTGAGTGTTTTTTTTTTTAGTTTTAATTATTATTATCGAATATTACATATATACATACATAGTTTAAACTTTTGCATGTTACATGCATACATATGTTCGAAGCAATATACCCTGTTTGAAAACATCTGCAATAGCGTACAGCCAGCGGGTGTTTGCCTAAGAACTCTAAACACTTAAGAGATTTTCCCTATTTTTGTGTTGTTTGTTTTTGTCTCTGTTTTAAATGTTGGCAAATGACGCAGTTGGCGGCTTCATGACGCACATGCAACTCCCAACTGCAACAATACGATTGCATATGTATCTGTCTATATGTATGTCTATAAATACAACACGGAAGTTGCATGCAACACCGCAACAACGCAACAACAACAACAATAAATGCTGAAAGCAGCCATAAATGAAATGAGAATTAAAAACAAAATCATTAAACTTAATATTTTTACTAATGAATATAATTTATTTAATAAATATATATGTACAAATGTGTCTATGCGCATGTGTATGTGTGTATTGCTGCGGGTTTTCCCAAAGCAGAATTTCCACATTTTTATGATCCATACAAAATATACAAATTCACAAAAGTTGACGAACAAAGCATTTAAATGATAAATGTGTCTGCTATATATCAAATATATATGGCGTATAAGGCTTTTATGTATGTGATATTCGTATATGCTTGACTCGCAGTAAAAGTACTTTTGGGCAGACGACACTTGCACACGCACACGCCCACACCCACGCGCTGGGGCGCACCTAATTCCTCGCCAAAATACATATTTGCCACTTATGCATATACAATATATATATAATATATATGCTTAATTTCAAAGAAATTCTCAACAAATTTTATTATTTTTAAAGAAAGCATAAAATATATATTTCGTTTTTTTTTTTTTTTTTTTTTTTTGCTCTTTGTAAATGTCTTCACTAATTTGCTTAATTTCTGACAGAAATTAATGAAATGGCTTCTTCGTCTTCTTCTTCTTCATTTGCTTGATTTTTTGTTGCCAACGCGACGACAGCCAAAAAACAATATGTAAATATAATAAATAAATAAATAATCACATAAATTCTCCAAAAAGGCCTAAAACCGACAGACAAATATGCATGAAATATGTTTTTTTAAATATCTGGCGAGCCAAAAATAATTCACACGATCTGATTCGAGCTATTAAATGGTTTTAGCTGACTGCACAATGCTCGTTAAGCGTTTTAATTGCAGTTGAATTTTATAGCGACATTTGAAATGTGTCTAATTTTGATAGTGAATAAACAGTTTCTTAAGCTTTTTAAGTCCCAAATAAACGTAGTTTTAATATCCTCATACTTTATAAGTTTCCTTACTCTAGGATTTGAGGATTGCACAAAAGAGAATATGCTCCTTTCTAACAATTGCGAACGAGCATAATAAGAAATCTAAATGAAATATAAATAAAAATATATTTTGTTTTGGCGTAAATTCCCATGCGAAAACACCTGCTGAATTATAATTATGACACAAACAAACATACACTCGTACATTCATACATATGTATGTATAGATTTCACATCTATGTACATATTACATATACAAGCAATCGTTTTGCTTCGTATAGGACTATTTAGAGGCTCACACAGAAAATACATATGTACGAATATTTATGAATATTTATATATATACAGCATTATGTATAAACATTATCAAATACACACACAAGTACAGCTCTACAGACATACACACATATACATACCAATACATATCTATATACAACTTGTTGTCCTACGCTGCGAATACGCAACGTGACTTCATTTTGCTTAAGCATGAACAATTATTTCTCTTCATTTATTTTAATTAATATTTTTCCACAATTTTCTTCTCTGGCATTTTGTACGTAGGAACGTGCCCTGTCCCATGTGCGTGTGGATTTCCCATTGGTATCGCCCGGTGACGCCCGCAAACATTTGCTGAGCCCGTAGGACAGACGCGCACCGCCGGACGTTCAAAGCTCAGACAACAAAGATGAAGCGCGATATATCCACCTCGACAATTGGTCGAGATGAGGCCAGACGTCCCTTGATGGAGGCCTATATGTTTCAGCGCCGTGTGCTGCTCGGCTGCAGCCTGCTGATGGTCGTTTCGCTGGTTGTGTGGATAGTGGCGATAGCAACGGATCATTGGATCATCATATCAGGGAAAGAAGGTGCGTAGCAGGGATTTGATTACATTTGAGTAGAGACTCCACTGAATAACGTTCCCTGTTCCCCATCCCTAGGCATTTTCATACCCGAATCGCGCCGCTTCTTCATCAACTCGCATTCGGGATTGTGGCGCCACTGCCGTAATACGATTGTGCCGAACGCGCTGAGCAATGCGCAGGTGGTGCGAAACTTTAGCTCCATGTCGTACACCTCGCAGTCGTATATCAACGATGCCAAACGCAATTTGAGCCACATGGAGTTCATTCGAAACTTCTCTCAGGAAAAACTGGATGGCTCGGACAACTTTACGGAGCCGGCGCGTCGGCGCATGTTCGCCCATTGGGCGCGAGGGGAGGAGGAGGAGTTCCAAATGTTTCGCAGCGCTTTCCACAAGCTGGTCATGTCGACGGAAGCGAATCAGCATGAATTCAATGCGACTAGCCTGAAGCCCATTCCCATCGATCCGCTGGATGTGAATGGGATAATCAAGCGCCGCACTTTCGGCTCGGCGCTGCAGCGTGTTAAATACAACAACACCTGGTCTTACTATGTGATACCGGAGATGGCACAGCAAGCCATATTCAGCAATTGGACGGATTATCCATTGGTGGTTCGACTGCTGGGCACGTACATCAGGGACATTGGTATACCCGCCTTTGTGTTAAACGACGAGCGCGTGATTTTACTTTTGGTGCCGCCGTTGCCACCAAAGAAGGCCGGGCAGACCGCCTACTACAGTTATATACCCTACTGTAAATATACATCCTAATATTTATTTAACTATAATATATATACAATACCTCGTTCTTTAGCGCGTTGCAAATACATTGACATGTTTCCCAATTCAAATACCCTACGCAGTGAGCCCGGCTTCGATGATGAATTAATGGGTATGTACGAGCATTACCAATTCATTTTTATTTTTATTTTCTCATGTCCATTGTTCTCTTGCCATCGAGCGAGACGCACGCTACTTTCAACTGCTCTCATAATACGCCATCTTGTGCTTACTCTCACTTAAATTCTCTTGTACTCTCAAATTGTAACGGTACGTGACTAACATCAGCCTGGTGCGATCGAGCGAGATAGTCGCTAATTTTAGCTCTTCGTAGGCCATTTACTTTTGCTGCTCTTTAACAAAGCAATTCTGCTCCCTCTCTACGGAGAGAGAATTAATGAAAATAGTAAAAGGATATGCTGCACTCATGTAAAATGTTGGCATGTAATTTAATGGGTCGAGTATTTCAGCATGGACGCGCCCAACAAAAAGTTATCGAAGCCAAGCATGCATCCACGCACACACACATTTATAATCGCAACAGTTTTTATTTGGTAGTGTCTTGGTACGCCATTGCAGATTACATACGTACGCAAGCTTCCTTTGCCTGCATCACGTTGTTCGTCATGAGTCTGGGCGCGGTCTTCTCCTTCTATACGTTTATGAATCCACGTTACATGTTCAAGCGTTTGGCAGGTGGCATACACCTAGTGGCGGCATCCACAGCGCTTGTAGTGCTGCAGGTGCTCTTCTCTTCAATCGACTACACAAAGGATAATTTGTTCTATGCCTATCCGGATGGTGCGGAATTGACGTAAGTTTAACCTTAAGGAAAAATGAAACATTTTTTAATAATTAAACATTCTTACCTATAGCTATGGCTATGGCGTTTACCTGGCCTGGTTCACGTTCGTAGTTAATATTTTATGCGGTGTCATGTTCCTCTGGTATTCAGGTAAGAAGAAAGGCGCCAAGGCGCCCAATGATGAAGTTGCCATGGCCGATGAGCCAACCATAATGGGTAGATAGCTTCCACAGCCACAATCAACAATAAAAAACCAAAGACCAAAGCAATCCAATACCAATATCTGGATTGGTATTTTGCCTTACACTTTTGTTACTTGTTATATTCTTAATAATAATACACACATGTATAAATTGAGTTATTCATTAATAATGATTTGAAGAACTCTGCATAATAAAGAAATCACACGTTTACCTGTAATATAAAAGCTGATTTTTCATTTGAATAGCGCGGTAATAATTAATTTAAAAAAAAAAAACTGTTTTAGTATTTTCGATAATAAATGGAATGTGCGATTGTTTTCAATATTGAAAATAGCCACAGCAATGTTATTTAACAGAAATGTTAGTATTTTCCACATTTCGATTATTTTTATTATAAACTGCTGACATCACAAACAAGATTTTAGCCTTGCACATGTGCATATGTTATCTATCGTTCACTTATTCAATGCGCTACCTTATACATCAATTAACACATGCAGGCCATCTGATTTGTTGATATGGAATTTTCTTAATATCTAAATTAAATGGAGGAGGATATAATTACTACGCGCACTAAAGAGCTTTCCGCTGACGAGCTAAATAAGCTGGAGGAGCAAAACAAACGTCTGGTGCCCGAATTCAAGGCGAACAAATTGGAGATCGATGCGCAGCGGCATTGGGACTTATTCTATAAGAGAAATGAAACACGTTTTTTTAAGGATCGCCATTGGACAACTCGAGAGTTCCAGGAGCTGCTGGCGGAGGAGTGTACAGGAGAGAGACGCAGGCTCTTAGAGGTGGGCTGCGGCGTTGGCAATCTGGTCTTTCCCCTACTGGAAGAGCAGCTCAAGGATCAGACCAGTGAGCAAAGTTTCTATTTCTATGCCTGCGACTTTTCACCACGTGCTGTGGACTTCGTTCGAACAAATCCTCTGTACGATACAAAGCATATAACTGCCTTTCAGTGCGACATAACAACGCAACAGGTACACGAACACATCGAAGCAGCTAGCCTCGATGTCTGCACCATGATCTTTGTGCTCTCCGCCATACATCCCGACAGATTCGTTGATGTCGTCAAGAACCTATGGCAATTGCTAAGGCCTGGTGGATTAGTGCTATTTCGCGACTACGGTCTCTACGACATGGCTCAGCTGCGCTTTAAGCCGGGTCATAAGATAAGCGAAAACTTTTATATGCGACAGGATGGCACTCGCAGCTATTACTTTGCCCAAGAAGAGCTGGCGGAGATCTTTAGTCAGAACGGCTTCGACGTGCTAGACAACAACTATGTGCACCGACGCACGCTCAATCTAAAGGAGGGCATCGATGTGCCCCGCATCTTTCTTCAGGCAAAATTCCGCAAGCGCTCCGACAGCTGATGATTAATGATAATCATAATGATAATAGCAAAGCTCAGCAATGCTTTGCTAACATGACTAGAGAACGCTGAGGTATGCAATTATATCTTTAATTAATTATTGTAGATTTAATTATTCTATTTAATGTTTCTCAATTTGCAATTTCTGTATGTACAGCTGATATTTCACAATTTAATATCAATTTCAAATGAATTATTTAAATCAATTTTCAATAACATTATTTTGTGGGTCAACGTTCAATAAATATTTATTGTATATGTTAGGCTTACAAGTGTATATGTGTGTGTCGTATATATATGTGTGTAACATTTTTAAGGTACATATATATATTTATATGTATATATGCCTGATCAGAACTTGGCATGCAATTTTCATATATATACACACTTTAAGTCATATATACGATATCTTAAATCCATCATACCTTTATACTAAGTTAGTTACAATTCGACAGATTTGCTTTAGTTAGTTGCACTATTAAATTCATTATAAAATGCTATTGTTTAGCATATACTTGCTGGACAACATGGTAACTTGGCTATTTGTATATATGAATTCATATATTTATATATAAATATTTGTGTAGTACGGGTATATCTGTGCTTAGGTCTAGAACGAAAATTACATAAACTGGTAATGTACATTAATTTGTTTTAGTAACAATTAGATTACAATACGAACAACTTAGTGTGACAATAATAATCAACAAATATAATAACTTCTCTCTCTCTCTCTCTCGGTTTCTTTCTTTAAGTATATGTGAATTACATTTTACAGGCCTCCAAATAATTTCAGTTTGGTTTGTTCGTGAGTTAATACCAAGGAGGTAACGAATATAATAAATCTGAATTTGGCTATAATTGGTTAGTTGAATTGCCCAAGTTAATCGAGGCCATGCTCGGTCAGCTTGGCCCCGTTGCTGTTGCTGTGACCCAGCGGGGTCAGCTCGACGCTCGACTCAAAGCTCTTAGTCAACATGTCAGTGCTCGTTATGGAAGTTGTATTGCTGTTAAGCGAGACAGCCACTGGCAGCGTGGCGATGCCGTCATTTAAGTCGCTATCGATGCTAAAGCTGTTGCTGCCATTCTCGTTGATCAGCGAGAGCGTCTGCATGGGCAGCAGATCGGTGGATTGGGGCTCTGCAACGGCATCGTAGGTCTTCGACTTGCTGACACTCAACGGACTCTTGTCGTAATCCAATCCACTGTCTGACTGTAGCTGCAGCAGTGAATTGCGCTGCGTATGCTTATCGAATTTCCGTTGCGGTGGTTTTGGCGGTTCCTTGTCCTTCTCTTTTTCCTTCTCCTTGTCCTTGGATTTCTTGAAGCCGAGCGCTTTGTGCGCCTGGGCTTTGATGCCCTCCATGCTGGGCCTAATAATGGAGGTGCGTGTGCCGCCACTGCTGCTCTCCTTGGCTGAAGGCGATTCCTTGGCGCCCGGTTCCGTCTCCTCCGTAACGCTCGCCAGCTGCTGCGGCGCCTGAGGTATTGTGAGATCTTGCGCCTGTATGGGAATGTCATCGGGCAGCTTTTTCGTTCGGAATGAAGCGTTCGTTATCATCGATTTGGATACAGACGTCGTCACGGTTGTCGTGGCCGGCGTCAACGCCACACTCAGACCCATTGGCCCGTCGTTGGGCTGACCCGAGGGATTGGCATGCAACGAATTGCGCACAGCGTTTGTAACTATAATTAGCTCCGTAAACATTTCGTAGCTGGCGCGATTATGTATATCCTCCAGTGTTTGAATGGCCACCGTGCCGAAGCCATTGAACATGGCATAGTAAATTGCATGCACCAGCTCGATAAGGAAGGACGCGGAGAGTGGAATGCGCGGCGCGGAAGGTTTCGGGAATGTCGTGCCCGTCGTTGGATCGGAGCTGAAAATGGTGAAAAGGTTAGAGATGTAATCAAGCAAGGTCTTGCCACTCACCCATAGCTCATGCGATGTCCATGCCCCGACTTGGTGGTGAAGCCCTGGTTGACCAGCTGCGAGGCGACGCGGCACAGATAGAGCAGCGATGATTTCTGTGTGAGGCTCACCTGCTGATTGTAGCAGAAGAGCAGAGCTGTCATGATCCTCATTCTGTTTTGAGCATTAATCGATTCAATGCGCAAATGTGGACCCCATTTGACCTCGCGATTGCAGTTCTCCTCCCAGCGCCGCAGGTCCGTCATGGGTAGATTCTTCAGCTCGTGATAGACAGACGCCTGGGCCAGTATGGGCATGCGAAAGGCCACAACCTTCTGGCCGCCATCGTCGGTGGACACCTCGCCATTGTAAATGCAGATGAGCAACGTTTCCACTCCTCTGGATGCCTTTTTATCGCCTGCCGAGACGGCATGCAGGTATGTGTAGATTAGCACGGGCAGGAATTGCAATGGAAACTTGTGTAGTGTCACCTCCGGGGCGCGATAGAAGGCCAACAGTTGCTGGCAAATGTCATGGACCAAGTCTTCGTTACGTTGCCTCTCGCTGAATATGGTGAAGATGGCTTCGGCGATTTCGGGATCTGTTTCATGTTCGACGACGAATGCTTCCGCATCGGCTGGCTGACGGCGTGCCCGCTGATAGTCTGTCAGCCAGTCTTTTACCAATTCGGCCATTATTATGTATTATAAGTTCTTAATTAATTTGCTAACACTCTGGCCCTATAATCTTTTTCACACATAAACCTTGCATATCTGCGCAGGGCTGCAAGCGCCACGATAACATCAGTTCAAAGGAACTAGCTCAAAATTTCTATGCTCATTAAAATAATTCAATTGATAACTTTAAATTTTGTTATAAGAAATTGAATTTCTGCTTTCCATAGCATTAGATCATCCTTTCTCAGCATCTTGCGATCGACTGAATGTATAATTTAAATAACAACTCAGTTACTCACTGTTTACTCTGCCGCCCTAGCCGATGTATGCCAAAAGCAACTCTGCAATGTTCTCACCGAAATGAATTAAGTCCAATTGGAACTGCGAATATATAGTACGTATTTACATACATATATCGCAACACATGCATACACACACATGTAAATGTAGTTGTAATTATAATTAGCCATTTTTACGACGAAAACAAACTATTAAATAATAAAGACTTACGAACATTAAATGCCAAATATTATATACAAATCAATATAGAATACAAAAACTATATACAAACAACAACAGCAACAACAAAACGCGGAAGCGAATCAACGACCAAAAGCAAAACAAAAGAAAAAGTCAAGGAAAACGAAGTGCCAAAACCTCCAAAAAAATTTAGTTGAAAAAAAGTGAACAATAAATTCAGAGAGTGAGAGAGCGTAAAAACAAAAAAACAAACAGTGCAATATGGGCAACGCGGGTAGCTCGACTGTGCATATGCATCGCGAGCGCCACAAGTCAACAGACCTCTCCACGCCAAGTTCTCCCGCACACTTTCGCGACTCGTTGGGCAGCGGGGGCGGCGCAGGCGGCGGTGCTGTGTCAACTGCTGGTGGGGCCGGAGTGGGAGGTGCAGCAGCTCCGGGCGGTGGCGGTGGCGGCCAAGCTTTCTCGTTCGATAAAAAACATACGGCAGTCTTGAACGAGGGTTCGTCGCAAGAAGACGACGACGACTTTTACACGAGAGCGGGCGCTAAGCGCACAACAGCTGTTGATAACGAGCCAACAGCAACAACAACATCAGCAGAAGCCGCAGCAGCACTGGAAAGAGATAGCACTATGGATGAACTGAACGATGAGTATCAAGAGATGAAGGCATCAGGATCGAAGAATTTTGATGAAGTTGAGTCGAAGAAGACGGCATTGCCTACGGTTCTGCGCTGGGACTATGGGGGCAAAAATGTGACCATCTCGGGAACATTTTCCAAATGGAAACCGATTCCGATGGTGCGCAGTCATGGCAATTTTGTGACCATCATCGATCTGCCGGAGGGTGACCATCAGTACAAGTTCTGTGTGGACGGCGAATGGAAACACGATCCCAAATTGGTAAGTTGGCAGGCCAGCCAGCACAGTGGGGCAAAATCGATATGTGTACGACGCATTGTTTACACTGGCTGACGTACTGCGACTTGAATTTTTCCCTCTTCACTCAAGTGTTGTGTAATCAGCGCTGGACTGTAAACAATAACACAATATGGATTTGGCTTTGTGACTGGCAATGCCGAGCTGCTCTGCTCTGCTCTGCTCTCTCTATCTCTATCTCTTCTCTCTGTAGTGCTCTGCGAGCTAATTCTAATGTTTGTTTGTTTTGATTTTGTAGAAAAGCGTGGAAAATGAGGACGGCGAAAAGACTAACCTGGTGTCGGTGCGCGCATCCGATTTCGAGGTGTTCCAAGCGCTGGCCAAAGACAGCGAGAATGTGCCCAACTATGCGGAGAAGGAGTACTCACAGGAGGTGCCGCAGGTGAAGCCCTGGGAAAAGGTGTCCGGTCCGCCAGTGCTGCCGCCCCACCTGCTGCAGGTCATACTCAACAAGGATACGCCACTATCGGTAATGTATATGAATCAACTGACTGAGTGATTGTTGTAGCTTCAGATTGAAAGTCTGATTGATTAAAAATGTATTAATCAGGTTGAGTAAGATTAGATTAGTTAGATTCAAGTTATAAATTGATTGAACTTATATTTATAACATAAACGGTGGGAGCATATGAAGTAGAAAGGAATTTATGTGGAATTTGTAATACATTGATTGACAGACCGACTGATTGCAGAGAAAGTTACATCAACAACTTCGGCAGCGGCGGTGCTCCACTTGAGCAGCATAAGTTTTTTGTCAACTAATCAAAATAGATGATAATTATATCAATCCTACATTGGTTGCCCGCTTGAGCAGCTGAATCAATGAATGACTGATTGTAGATGTAAATATTCATGGGGTAAAGTTTAGCAGCTTGAGGGTTGTTTGTTTGTTTATTGATATTAGATTGAGTTACTGGAAGCTTAAAGATGTACAACAGTCGTAAGTCGTAGCTGAGGGCTGTACTTTGATAAGATGTGGAAACGTAGAAGCATATATCTGCATTAATTAATAGCGGCAGGAAATGACTGAATATGATAATCT